CCCAATTTAGATTGAATAGCCACCCTCAGATTCAAACCGTGGGTCAAATGAGCAACAGGTGAAACTTCGATGGACTGCCTTCGGTATTTCTCATCGGACCCGGAGTCGAAGATGTGAACTTTCGCAACGATAACGCTTTCTGGTGTTTTTGTATTGTATTGTCGCCGTTTGACCAGACGCGAAAACATATAACGTAGGTGTAAGACTTGAACCCAGGATCTCAGGACTCTCATCCAGTTCTAAATCACAAGATGTGGAGAACTTGACCTTTCCAAAGAAAGCGATGTCAAAGTACAACATCAGGGCTGTTAGTACTAGTCCTGTAGTCAATCCAATGATAAAGTCTACCTAAAAGGTGCAGTATGTAGTCTATGAGGTTCTCGAGAACAATTTGTACCTGGGGATAGCACACAGTGCATAGACGACCACAACTCTTCAGTCGTTTTCAGCAGAATCGAACCTGGCTGCACATGTAGATTTATAAGGGCACCCCCTGTAAAGGTGGATTTGAACCCGAGAATATTTTTGGTACTCTACTGAATTAGGGGATAATTCCGACAGGTACGGCCACAAACTTTAAGGTTTTGTTTGACACGAACGGCTACAAACAATCGGGAGAAACCAGGCCTAACAACTGATACTCTTCACGTTGTCAGGACGTGCCCAGTCATAGAAAAAGTACATGTGCAGAGAGTGACGCGTCGCCAAGGTCACCATCGGTACGACACGTCCGGAAAGCAGGTACGTTAGCGGAGCGCACCAAACGCGGCTTAGCAACAAAAGACTAGCGGAGTGGGCGCGAAATTGTTCACGACCGGAACACCGCCATTGGCTGTACAGAACGAGCGGGTGAACGACCTTATTTGGCCATTTAGTCATCCTATACATTTGCGCAGAAGCCTCGTACTTTTTGTCCTGACAATACAGCCGTGCCCCGAGTTCTCTGTCTTCTCCTTATCGCGTAGTCTCTGGCAGGCTCTGTGCAGGCGTAACCAATAGACGGCCACCCACGATACAACACACGTAATAACTTAAATCCATTGCTCAGGCATGTTGCGCTCAGCAACGGTCGAAGTCAGTCGTACTGAGTTGACCAATTTCACGGTTCTTCTCTTGTCGACCCGATGGCTAAACTTGCTATCCACCGACAACTAGACTCCAGCCAATATGAATGAAATCCACCGTAGAGACCAACTCGGGGCTACCGGGTTGGACAATGATACCCGGCAAATTCGGATCAGTAGTCCAACGAGCCACTTGTGCAACGCTGGTGTACATTTGGATTGTTCTACTGGGAACCTAAACTTCCTGCCAGAAGTTTATGGTGGAGAAATGATTGCACTGTGAATAGTACAGTCGTATGAGATTCTCTGTCCTTTACATAGCACGGGGTTCAGCAGCATGCCTTTCAACGTTTGACCACCTGGCATTGCTATTCAAAAAGCCATACGAATTTCCCATCTAAAGTGGGCTGTCACTGTGTCGAAATATAAGTAGCTCGGGTGTGTTTACTGATGGTTGATCAGATGGTCGTTGATCCGTTCGCCGAGTTTGGCATCTGGTTTGAAAGCGTTTCGTCCCTAGTCGAGGAGACTTCGTCAGTGCGCATTTACGTGGGTGCGTAT